TTGCTTTTTTTCATTTTTCCTTCTGATATATGTTGTTCCGGATAACATCTGCCCAGTGGTGGGATTCAATTTTTTTTTATTACTGGTTCTGTGGGCGTGGCTTGGTGGGCGTGGCAGGGGAAGGATACTGTAAAATCTCCAGTCAGAGGTGGTATTTGCCAGTTCTCCGAACTACTCAAAATTTCCGCTACCGGTTCTCCAGAACTGGTCAGAACCTGCTGAACACCACCTCCGCATCTGCCCCTTCCATATGGAAAGCACAGCAACGTTTGGTGAAGAGACATTAGACTCTCACCACTGGATTCTAATTTTTTTGAATTTGCAAAATACCTGAAGTTTATTTCTGTTGAATTTTTCTTATAATTTTGGATTGAAATGTAGGGAAAACTTTTTTGTTTTGTTTTTTGTTCCCCGAAAAAGAAAGAAGGGTAGGAAAATATGCAGCTTCTAGCTGGTTTTCTCTTATTGATCAAACTTTAATGAATCTTCAAAAAATAATACAATCTGAAGCTTTATCTTTGGATAAAGATAGCAATAGCACTTAGACTTATGTACTACTTTACAGCCTCTAAGATACACAAAGGGATTTTGATCCAGTTCCAAATCAAAGAGATAGTTTTATGGCTGAAAAACCAGTGAAGTGGATTTCATTTGTTGTTCAGAAGTTTACGTTTAAGTCTGTATACTTCTGTAGGAAGTTAGCACTCACCCCTCTCCTAGAAAAATGAAATATCCTAGGAAATATTAAAAAGGCAGAATATTTCCCCTAAAAAGAGTAGAAACTCAGAAGCAGAAGCTCACCCCCACCTTTGTTAATGGATGGGCCATTAAGGCCTGGGCCAGAATACTTTACATAACAAAGATCTCCAGGTAAAGCTACAGCAATTGCCAAAAGCCCTTTTCAGTGCATCATCATCCAGCAAGGCTCAACCAAGCCTGGAACTCAGGACAGCCTACAGAGTTGCCCCTGCATGGCCCCATGGGAGTCTGACAACCAATTAGAAACAAGCTCCAACAAAGGTTATAAAACCCAGGCACTCTCAGCCCTTCTTGATCTTTTTCTTCACCTTGAAGCATGTGATCATCCTTTTCACTTTGGAGCTTCAAGCCATGTTGTCCTCCTATCCACCATTAAACCTTCCAAACAGCCTCCATGTTTCCAGTGTCTTTTTCCCCACTTGGAACTGAACCCAGAAGGATTTTTCTTCCCTTCTCCAATATGACAGTCTCAGCTGGAAGAGAAGTAGACAAATTCCTTTCCTCTATGAAGGAATCTATTTTCTCTACAAAGATAGAGGAAAACTGGATGGATTGATTATAGTTAACCTTTGCTTGCATTCTGACTCAAAGATAGACATATTCTGGAAACTGAATTTATTACATTTCATTAAATAACAATTGACAAGAGAGGACCTTAAGAAACAGATAGATTTTTGACCCAGAACAATCTGTTTATAATTTTGGTATGATCCGGGATAGTTAATGGTAAATTTTCTATGAGTGGATTAAAATAACAATTTGTTAGAGTGATTTGAAACTTCAATTTTGTTCTGTTTTACTATTATTGTTTTTCCTGCTAACTATTTTGTCACCAATATAACATATAGAAGGCAATTCAACAGGTTACTAAGAGATTTAGTAGTTTAAAAATAGAGATGGCTGCTTTGCAAGGGATTGAAAGTAATTGTAGTAATATATTAATCACTGTTCAATTATAAAGCATAATATGTGAATAAGGTGGAGTCTTTTTGATGTGCCTTTTTTAATGTTCTGACTGTTTTGTGTTTTATGCTTTTTTTTTCTTTTATGTCTTTTTGGATTTTTCCTGAGTTTTGTATTTTAAATTTATCCTGAATAAAATAAAATATTTAAAAAATAATTTTATTTATTTTTCAAATTTATATAGCCAAAGAAAACAAGTGACTCTGGGTGGCATACAACAAAGCCAAAAAATAATAATGAATAACAACAACAATGATAATAATTAAAAGCATTAAAACTATAAAAGCAATTAAAATGAAATAACAGGTAAAAGGATGTTAATGGCACGACCATTTGTTTGTTCACAACAAACAATATGACAAAATAAAACATATAACATGTCTCTTAGATTATTACATATTAGCAGAGCCAAACAAAATGTAAATTATTTATTATTTTATTGTGAATTTATGATAGTACTCTATTTTCAGGCATCCCAATTAATCTCTTTTCATTGCTTCGCCACCTGGATATCTTGCTTGGCTATATTCACTATAGTTTTCTCTCTTATCTTTACCTGAAATTGTATTCCCCAACTTATATTGAACTTTTCAAAAGAAGGACAGCCATTTTGATATCTTTCCCTTTTCATCAAAATTTCTACAAACCTCATCTCATCCCTGTTCTGCATTCCCTCAGTCCTGAATACTCATCCTTTACTTCTTGTATTGTTAAACCCACTTTGTTTTAGCATGAAGCACACATTAACAGATAAACATCTGTTAATGTCAGAAACATTTTTAATTTCAAACAATAGTTATGGAAAAACTGAGCCTGAGAATTTATGACAATGACTTGCAAAAACATTGCAGAGGAAGAAAAAAAAATCAAGTTGGTAGCCAGGGCTGTGAAATCATGTTGCCATCTTGATTGGCATAACAGATAGAAAGCATTTGTGAAACAAGAAAGAAAAATCTGATTAAACATGGACTAGAAATTATTCTAAAATATAATTTTGTTGAGGTTGTGATTTACCATTCCTATATCTTTCAGTGAATAACAAACCTTTTCTAGAAATGAGATGTTTTTTCAGTCAACTTGATTGAAGTTTAATTGTTCTGACTTATATACCACCATGAATCAAAACTCTCACTGGGTGAAATATTACATACATAGTAGATAAAACAAACTGATCTGTCCAAACTTCAGTGATATTTTAGGCACTACTCTTTCAACAATCCCCATTATTAGAATAGTTTGGATATTTTCTGTCTTGTTTATTTGAAGAAATTAGGCCCCTACCACCTGATGAGATTGGTCCTTCTACTTTCTAACTCAGAGGCATTTATGAGGGAGGCAATCAGAATCTTGCTGTCATTTTTATTGGTCACAAGGAATATATTTCTAAAGAAGGGGACACAAGCCTTTAGTCACAAAGTTATGACCACCATCTTGTCTTTTCGACCCTCTGTTCATGACTTAGCTAGTTATTAAAGCACATAAGAAATGTTGTCTTCCTGACTAACTAGTAAAGGTAATAATTACTCTTCTGAGAATGAAGGGACATTCCTTCTCATTTTCTCAATCATACAATTACTTCCTTCAATTGTATGATTGAACAAGACCAGGAAAAAAAGAAAACAGTTTAAAATAAAAACTAAATTAAGTTTGTACTACCATAAAGTAAATCTCCACATATTTAAATGTGTTTCTATTATGTCACATTTTAAAACATCAGTGGCAAACTTTGAGAATCATAATTTGTGAATTCTTGTGTAGAAAGTAAGAGGAATCCAACTTTATTGATTCTTGGCAATATCTCAGTGAAATTCAGAGTTACTATGCTTGCATCCTTACACAGAAAAAAAATCATTGGTTGACGAGAGTTATTTTTTAGCAAGATGTATGTGTTAATGGAACAAATCAAAATAGAATGAGAATTTATGCACAGACACAGAGTCTCACAACAAAACATTGGGTTTAGAATTATGCTAATGTCAACTTTTTCTTCTTTCATGTTTTATTTCCTTTATTGCCAAATACAAAATACTACATTTTACCTCCTGAAATTTTGCCAGGTTTTGTGGGAGAACTGTATTTTGGCAACCACATGAATGAACTAGCAAATGATCAGTAGCCTAGGATCACTGGTTAGGAACCATTGTGCCCCAAATTACTCACAATCTGATCCCTAGCATTATACATTTTTTAAATTAGTAGAACTAGTTGTTAATTAAGTGCATAAAACAAAAATCTGTTGAATTCTTCCAATCCATTCCTTAAGTATGTATTCTGTAACAGATTACATCTGAATTGTGAAATGTTATAGGAATATGATACCTAAGCATATTAATAACTCATCATAATTTTAATAGAAATATTGGATGTCTTATATACATATAAAAGTCTAGGTTAAAGGGATTGATTTTATATTTTGAAATAAAGTTTAAGGAATTATTGTCTCAATGACATGAATTAAATGACACTATCTCATTTGATTCTTAGAAAATGCAGTGCTAAAAGAGATGTGTGGGTTAATAGTTTGTATGTCTAGTGGAGAAATATGTTCCTCCATTCAGCAATTTTAATTCTTATATTTTTTATTATTTTTATATTTTTATTTATTCATTTATTAAAATAATATGCTGCCCATCTCCCTGATAAGGTGACTCTGGGCTTGCTTATAGATCATAAAAATATATGTAGAATAGAATAGAACAGAACAGAACAGAACAGAATAGAACAGAACAGAATAGAATAGAATTGGCCAAGTGTGATTGGACACACAAGGGATTTGTCTTGGTCCAAATGCTCTCAGTGTACACAGAAGAAAAGATACATTCGTCAAGAGTCAAGAATCATAAGGTACAATATAGACAAAGAATTTAAAATTTTAAACTATGCAAATTAAATATTTAAAACTATATAAAAACCCAGAACCAAACAATTATATTTGAAATATGGGTATAGAAGACTCAACTGATTCTTGTATATAGCAAATCTTATGATACAAGCTTTCCATGTGCTGAAAGAGATGCATTGCTCTTCAGGTAATGCACTTCTTAAAAAATGTAAACATACTGATTCTGAAAAGCAGAAGAATTCAAAGTTAAAAATTGCTTGAATACACTTTTGTGGAAGTAAATGAATCAGTATAGGCTGTCATTATTGTAGTCGGAAACAGTTGCTTCCAGATTTCCTAATGACTCATTTTAAGATAGCGCCTTACAAGCCTTGGGAATTTCCTCTGACAAGGTCCTTAAGTATATAAGCCATAGAAGTGGTGGAGCTCAGTCAAGCACAGGCTTTCTTGAGCAAACACTCTTCTGCTGTCCAGGATCCCAGCCAAGAAAACTATTCCATCTCTTATCATGGATTCCAAGGCTGTGGTTGCATTTTTGGCTCTTCTCTTGGTCTCTGCAACACTGACAAAAGGTAGGCAAAGTTTGTATGATTTGTATGAGATGCTAAACTATTTTCAGGGGAAGATAAGCTTACTGTTGTCAGGAATATAATAATTGCTTGTAACGGAAAAATCATTTTCAGCAAAAAGCTGTTATTTAATAATTAAATGCTAAACAGATTCTCAAAGGTCTTTAGACTTCAAAAGAAAAATGTACTTTTGTACTTTTTCTTCTCTTTCTAAGTAAAACTAATTAATGCAACATGCATAAATTTATTTAAAAGGACAGATCCTTCAGAAGTTGTTACTAATAAATGACACTTCTAGATCCTACAGTAATCTACCTTTGAGTACTAGATCCTAGGAAATATTAATGGGGAATAGTTGTATTTAACACAATTTTTTAATGATTTGGATGGTTGTTACAATGCAAGCAAAATATTTAATTAGCGATAGATCTATAGTCTCAACTAATAATACAATAGCTATGTAAATATTTTTACTGTAATCTGTAAGTCAAAATGTTATTCTTTTTTTACAGATACAGATTTGAGAGATAATAGATAAGAGAGCATTGATAGGAATAATTAACTTTTACAAACATTAACATTTGTAATTTTATTTTTAAAAATAAAATAAATATAAAGAAAAAAAGGAATAATTAACTTAACGAGTTTAGGGATAATTGAGATGATTTTCATAAATGGAACTGAATCGGGTTAAAGGAAAGCATATCCCAACAACAAGCCTTTGGGAAAGAGATTTAATATATATGATAAAGAGAGCTTAATTATTTTGTACATTTTGGCTTTTTAATAGGAGCTTCAGTGGCCCGGGTAGGGCTTGAACTTCGGTGTCAATGTATAGAAACCTATTCTAATCCCAACCTCCGTGGACACATTGCAAGTGTCAACTTGATCAATAGTGGGCCACATTGTAGTAACATTCAGGTTATGTAAGTATACTTTTGCTATTTCATATTTGTCACTGGCTTTAAGGCATGATCTATCATGAAGCCCTGCTGCCCAACTGCCCCATGCAAAGCTTGTGCACAGATCTTCTGGATTTTCCCACATGGACTGTATAGCATCACTAGATGCTAGTGGCACTAGAAATTCTTTGCTCTTGTGTATTAAAACCAAATGGTTGGTGTGATTTGTATGATTGGAAAATCATACAAGTCCTGTAGATTAAACTAATAAACAGACAATCAGAAAGACAGTAACCTTCTGCAAACTCAGTGCTTGATTGTCATGATTTTCATTTGTTGCAGTGCAACTCTTAAGGATGGCAGACAAGTGTGCTTGGACCCCACTGCACTCTGGGTGAAAAAAGTCATCACAAAACTTCTGGAAAAGTAAGTACTTATTTTCTTCTTCTTTTTTTTTTAAACCTTACAGTACAACTTTTCCGTATTTGTTTATTCAAAAGAAGTCTTATCAAAGAGACTACTTGGAACATAGATCATAGGATTTGAAGGGACCTCAGAGATCTTCCAGGCCAATCTCCTATTCAACCAGGAGAACCTATACCATTCTGGACAAATGGCTGTTCAATCTTTTCTTAAAAGCCTCCAGTGATGGGGCACACAAAACTTCTGGAGGCAAGTTGTTCCACTGATTGATCTCAAGTCAGGAAATTTCTCCTTAGTTCATTGAACTGGCCAGAGATAAGCCTCACTGTTAGACAAATAAAACAATGATTCTGGAATTGGACATACCTAGTAGACATTGGCAGGACTGCATATCAGTATTTTATTCTGGAAATTTATTCTGGACAGTATTTTATTCTGTCTCAATCTAAACAACTCTTCATTTTTTCTTATTTTTTCTTACATTTCTTTTACTCCAGGGCTAAGAGCAATGCGGAAGCACAGTCATAAGAAAAGCTTCAAGTTATCTCAATGTTGGCATCCTTAAAAGAAGCTGAGCCATTTCCAACAAACCTACATTTTAAGAAGAATCTTTTATATTAACAATTGTGAAAAATTATTTATTATATAATTTCATTAAGAGAAAATCATTAGAAATGCATCTATCATATGCATAGAGGAAATGCAAAGATAAGATGGGGAGTAAATCTTATCTGGAAAACAAAAGACATTACTAAATGCAGTTAAAATGGAAGTCCCCTGGTGGTTGCATAAGGTTGCCATGATTGTAAAACAAATTGGCAATAGTTTCTGTTGCCCTTGGGCACAGAGCAACCAATAGATTTGCATAAGTATGGATGAGTCAAAGCCAGCCTTGGGCTGTTTACTGTGAGAATCGTGTTAGAGTGCCAGTCTAAAGAGGTCCAGGTTGAAAACCTAGTTTGGCCATGAAATTCCTCAGATGTCTTCATCTAGTCACCTTATTGGATTGTTGGGAGGCCAAGGTGCAGAGAATCTTATATCTTGTGTTGAGCATCGATGGAAACCCAGTATATTCACAAATGTGCATTATTCTCAGAGTGTTTCTACCTTATTATTTATTAATATAAGCATATGTGAAGTATTATTTATTATACTAGAAAATGTTTGTGTCTGAGCATTTTAAAATTATAATGTTTATGTTGAGGGAACCAGATATTTGAAAGAATTGTGAATTTTTATGTGAAAAACTCTTTACCCAGAAGAGGCACGTGGAACTTTCAAATCCATAGGATGATCATTTAAGTTTTATTTATATATTTATTAAACAATTGCTGAATACTGTCAAAATATTTTTGTACAACCAATGTGCAATTAATTAAATTATTTTAATGATGAAATACTTATTTTAGTTTTGTCTTTTAAAAATATAATACTTTAAACAGTTGATGACAACTCCCTTTAGTTTTGTATCCTGTGCTCATTGATAAGTAGGATAGCAGTATAGTATCTTTTCTTTCTCTTTCTTCACAAATATTCACATGAACATATTTTATTGTAGTGCTTTGGCTTCTTAGCAAGTGAAATACTTGAACGTTGAGCCCATTTATAATTGAAGGTGGGATTTCTCTTTTTCTCTATCCCTTCCCATCTTGTTACAAAATTGGCTTACAACCTTCCAAAACTGATTTTTTTCCCCACCCTCCTGCTCCCTTGGGACAGAAATTTAGTTTACACACACAAAAACCCTCATATATGTTATGAGCTTCCAAAACATAATTTAAAAATCTTCAATTTATAGTGACATGATATATATTCTCTTACTTATATGGAAAAATTAGAATAGGAAAGAATAAAACTTCTGAAACACATACACATACAAATAAAATGTCTGATTCCTGGCTAAACACATTGACCTATTTCTACAGAACAAAACAGTTATTCTCCCTCCTTATTAAATAAAACTTTATTGTGATCATTCACCAGCACAAGGGGAATTAGTATTGAAATATCAAAAACTAAATTGGCGATATCAATTAATTAGGAAAGATAGATACAAGCAAAGAATTTTGGCTAAAAGACATTAATTCAAAAAATGATAAGATGCTTGTTCAGACTACACAGGTGACAAAAGAAAAAAGGTTAAATTTAGCAATCTGGGTAGCATAAACTTTGATATAGTAATATACATCTAAAAATGAATATTGGTAGATAAAACAATAAATTATCTAAAAGGCAAAGTTCTCTTTCAGACCCCTCCAAACCTGACAGGAATACATAGTAGTACAATAGCTAACACAACATGTTCTGTACTCACTAAAGCATAAAAGAATAAATTAAAATGTAATCCATGCTTAATGTTAAACCTGGGCCATTTATGGCTATCTATACTTAGGCAGGTTCAATTGCCTTAATTATTCTTGGCCTAATTTTGCATTCCTACTTATCTACTCATATTTGCATGCTTTCAAACTGCTAGGTTAGCAAGAGCTAGGCTGAGGATGGGAGCTTACCCCATGGTGTGACACTTGGGGCTCAAACCTGCTGAGCCATTGCACTGCCCCAAATGGACTTCAGTGGGAAGGTGCCATGAATGCTTCATGATGTTATGCTGGCCACATGACCACAGAAACTTCTTCAGACAGCATTGGCTCAATGAATCTTGAAACGGAGATGAGCATTGCCCACTATAGTTGGCAACGACTAGCAGAGTAAAATCTGCAGGGATTACTTTTATCTTAAATTCTGCATGCTGCCATGCAAATCCTGACAACCTTGTATGTTTCAGGGTTGATGTCAAAATGGAGAAATGGTTATACTGATGAATCCTGTTCTACTGGTCAGGGATGAAGTAATTAGAGCACTTTGAGGTTCTCTATAAAGCTGACAATATAGGCAAATATAGTTTCAACCTGTCCTGAGTCATATCTGTAATACACATGGTATCTTTTTTAATCTTCTGGTCAAAAGTGCTGAAGGGAAAGCATTATATTGGGCTAAAGTGAAGGCACTTCTCTGATTTAGGATATTAAGCTATGTAATATACACAGCTGCTGCCAGACTAAATTTCAGGTTATCTATCATGAGAAACTGAATGGTATTACCAGCATCCATTTGAGGAAGTTGATTAATTTATTTTATTTTTATTTATTTGATTTGCCAATTGTTTACAAGATAATAAGTATAAGTGTATACATAGTTGTGAATACATGAAATGGGTACATATAAGAAAAATAAAAGAAGAATAAGAGAAACAATAGGACAGGGACGGAAGGCACGTTGGTGCGCTTATGCACGCCCCCTACAGACCTCTTAGGAAAGGGGTGAGGTCAATAGTAGACAGTCTAAGGTTAAAGTTTTTGGGGTTTGGGGAAGAAACTACAGAGTCGGGTAGAGCAGGGGTCCCCAACCGCCGGTCCGCGGACCGGTACCGGGCCGCGGAACAAGCCTTACCGGGCCGCTGGATGCCGGTCGTTGGTCAAAAAAGATGGCGGCGCCAGCGCGTCGGGTGAGCTTTTCCGGGTAGAAAGCCATTTCTACCCGAAAAAGCTCACCAGAAGCGCTGGCGCCGCCAATTTTTTTGACGAAAAATCACTTCCGGTGACGTCACCGGAAGTGATTTTTCGTCAAAAAAAGATGGCGGCGCCCAGCTGACGCCGGAACCGGGCCGCGGCGCCCAGCTGACGCCGGAACCGGGCCGCAGCGTCGAAAAGGTTGGGGATCCCTGGGGTAGAGTATTCCAGACATTGACCACTCTATTGCTGAAGTCATATTTCCTGCAATCAGTTTAAGTCTGCAATCAGTTTAAGTCAGTTTAAGATTAAGTCTGGCCCTTGTTGCTCATAACCCAAACTATAAATAAATGGGAGAAAGTCTTATGAGAAAAAGCTTGTTGTAAACAATTATTTCCACCCACTTTGAAATCTGTATTCTAATGTTACTGGAACTAAGCATATTTATAGGGGAAAGTGTCAGCTTCAGCCAGTAAATACAACTTGCTCTATTCTAGTCCCTACTCTTACCATTCCAGCTTCCATGCCTAGTAGAGCACTGGAGACACAGCAAGGAACTTGGGAGATTGCTATTAAAACTTTCAATTGAACAAGTTCCAGTGCTGTAAGACTGAAAGGGAATGGGATACCCTGAGCTGGAGGCTTGGTCTCAAAGAGCTTAATGGCTGCAGGTACATACTAATGCTTTATGGAATTATGAAATCTTAAAATAACTGCTATGCTCCTATGTGCATTTTGTGAAGCATAGTTAGCATTAGCCCTTTTATTTGAATTAGCCTAGAAGATTACCCACAGGTATCAGAAAAATTCATATTAGCAATAGCACTTAAATTTATAAACCATTTCATGGTGTTTTACAGCTCTCTTTAAGCAGTTTATAGAGACAGCCCCCAACAATTTGGGTCCTTATTTTATCAACCTCAGAAGGATGGAAGGCTGAGTCAATCTTGAGCTAGTGAGAATTGAATCTCTGGCAGTCAGAAGAATTAGCCTGCAATGCTACATTCTAACCACTGTGCCACCACTGAATTGTTGTTAATAGTTCAGGAGTGCTTTTTGGACTGATTTGTGAATGCCATTATTTTAGTTTTAAATTTTCAGCTGACTCTCTTTATGATTGAGGTTTTTCATTGGAGGCTTTCAAGAAAATATTGTACAATCATTTGTCCAGGATGGTGTAAGGATCCCTGCCTTTGAGCAGAGCGTTGGACTTGAAAACTTCTAAGGTCCCTTCTATACCTATGATTCCACGATTCTACAATGATGTTCAAAGTACTCTTGAGTCCAATGGGTGTCCTTAAGAGATTACTGCATCATCTGCATATAGCAGCACAATAACATGCCTCTCTTTTACCTTGGAAGATAGAAGTTTGGGTTCTTCAGACAATCTTGCACACCATTTTTATAAAAATTAAATAAAAGAGGTGATCAATATGCAATTGTGTTTTACACCTAGGTAATTGGTAATTGTTCCTTCTTCACTTAATGCATGAATAAGAAACAATACTCAATGCCTAATAATGGTATTATACATCTTGCTCCATATCTTAATCCAAGATACAGAAATGCCAACCAGTTAATGTTGAGGCTATAGAGAAATATTAATCCCTCTTCTTTTCATCCTTCATCCAGCAGCTTCTTTTTCTAGTAGTAAAAGATCATAACTTTTACCTTTCCAAATGGGGGAAATCGTTTTGCGTCTTTGTGGCAAAACCTAGTCTTACCCATTGGAGAGTCGGTATTTATACTCAATCTCAGAATTAAAGATGTTCATTTTGTAATGGGATTGCTTATTTTATACAGTGAAAGAGAACATTCTTTTAAAACTTTCCCTATTGCCAGATTAAAGTAAGCCTGTCCTATGTATAATATATTATATTCAGTACAAAAATCTGTTTTGTTGTCTCTGCTTTAACAGAATAACAGAGTTGTCCAAGCCTCTGATCAAGCAGGAGACTTTATACTGTGTTTCTCACAAAATAAGGCCAGGCCTTATTTTTTTTTGACCCCCGAAAAAACGGCTAGGCTGTCTTTTCGGGGGTGACCTAATTTCCCCCCCTTGCATCCTCGGGTGGGCAGGTGGCGACAGCTTGGATGTTCAGGAGACCTTCCGCCACCGTCGCTTTCCCTTCTCCCTTGCTGCCACGGCGTTAGAGC